GACAGGTTAGTACAATGATGATGTTTCCTGTTGGGACAAACTTATAGGCTGATGATACATGGGGTAACTTTTTAAGCAATTTTGCCAGGCAGCTTTTTTTGAGTAATGTTGCTAGGGCACTTTCTCACTGAGGATAGGTAACAAATTTCTATCTGGATACTTTAGATCGGTCGTGGGCCCTGTGTCTCACCTGGTAGCCCGTTGATGGCAACATTGACCAAAGTTGCTCGGCAATATTGCTCAAAAAGTTGCCCCGTGTATCATCAGCCTTACTCGATGATCAACTTCAACTTGTTTGGTTATGCTAATGTAATAGAAGAAAGCACAAATCCCCAGGCAGGCTCAGAGTGTCCTTCTTTCCAAACTGTTTACAACATGGCAGCCAATGTATAAATAAAGCCCTGTATATTCGGCTATGTAAAAGTGTGGTGATGGGACATAATGTTCTACCAGATCAACAGTGGGCAACATGATTTCAGGTGACATGAATGTTACCTTCAGGAACGGACACTGTTTCAATCGAGAAACCATCTCATGCGGTTAAATGCTACTTCTATTCTAAGTGTCCTTTGCTGTTATGTAAGTGGTGTTTAAAAAGGTGACTGAGCACTGACTATGGAATTCAACAGTTCCGGTTCCGATTGCACTCAACGATTCTGGTTCCTTAATGATTCTATTAACGATAATTTTAGTACTTTTAAGTAATAAATATTTGGTAAAAATAAATACAATTCCACTACAAATGTTAATTTCAATAATAAATCTGAAAAGATTCTTCCAAAAGGTGCATTTACACAGGCTTGCCTTAACTGTTTATTAAATAACATTGCTCAAGAAACAAAAAATACTAATATATTTTAATTGTATATTTTTATATATTACTAAATGAACACATAATGTTTTTTCAACATGTAAAATGAACGTACATTTTGTACAATAACTACATTGTCAGTTAAGGTGCGGTCACATTTACCATTGTAATTTTCACAGGGGAACTACAGTGATTTCAATAGGAATACACACGATCTGGAATTTTGCATGAGGGCACAAGATTTCTCTACGCAGATTTCGAAACGGGTTCAAGATAGCTGCTTGGTTTGAATGAGACTTCTCTGTGAAGTTCACAGTTCGTCCACCCTACTGACAATAAAAATTAATATTTTTTGCTGAAATTTTATGTCCACACCTTTAGTTTTAAGCTGTATGTTTGATTCACTAAAAAAACTGATTCATACAAGCAATTCATTCTGTAATCAGGCTACACAAGAACCGTTCACAGAATCGAACTACATTTTGTCCTGCTATTTTTTTCAACTATCCTTAATAATCCCAACTTATCCCTATTTATAGCAGCCACCCTAAAGAGTGGCACATAGTGTGCAAGTTTGAAAAATAGGGTTGATAAATGATAGGAAAGAACATCTATTCTGGTTTTGGCTGTTTTGTATTGTGTTTAAGCTTTCAAACCTGCTTCATTTACAACAGGTGGCTCAGATGGATCACGTCTCTATGATTGTGTTTGGCGATACAACTCCAGTGTGAACGAGTGGACGGAGGTCTCCCCCATGCTGAAAGCCAGAGAGTACCACAGCTCCTGCGTCCTGAAGGGTCAACTCTATGTGATAGCCTCTGACAGCACAGAGCGCTATGATCATACTCTAGACTGCTGGGAGACCCTTCCGCCCATGCCACATCCCATGGATAACTGTTCTACTACGGCGTGCAGGGGACGGCTCTATGCCATTGGCTCATTAACCGGAAAGGACACAATGGCAATTCAGTGCTACAATGCTGAAAGCAACCGTTGGTCACTAGTCAACAGTGGAGAACTGCCTCCATGGTCCTTTGCCCCCAAATCAATGACTCTAAATGGGTTGATCTACTTTGTAAGGTGAGGTACTCACTTTTTCCCCAAAATTGTAAAATATCCAGTAGCTAATGATATGCAGAAAAAAAGAAACAATGAAGGAAGTGAGTTTTTCCATGTTTCTCATGACAAGGGTTGTGTTTCAGGGATGATTCAGCAGAAGTAGATGTCTACAACCCACAGAAAAAGGAATGGGAAAAGATTAATCCCATGACACAAGTACGTACATTTTACCTTGTTTCGTTTTTTTTAAGGTGTGATCACATTTACCGTTGTTCAGTAAATTTTCAAAGGTCAAAATTTAGTAATTTTATGAGTAATCCACGCAATCTGGAATTTCTCTTGAGGGCAAAAAAATTTTTCACACAGATTTTGCAAGTCACTGCATCACTTGACAATGGA